AATTGAAGTTTGCAACGAATTTTATTAAAATACTTCAAAATAATTGAATTTTAGAGAAGAATTTTATTATTTTTGAAAATAATTGAATTATTGCGAATAATTTTATTAAAATATTTAAAAAGAATTGAATTTCTGTAAAAAATTTTGTTATTTTTGAAAATAATGAAATTCTTTATAAAAATTTTAATAAAAAAATGTTTTAAATAATTATTTTTTTCAAAATGTAATAAATATTATGAAAATTTTATTTTAAATAATTGAATTCTTGTGGAAAACTTTATTTGTAAAAATCATTGAATTTTTCGATTAATTAATTTAAAATAGTATTTAGAATAATTGAAAATCTTCGATGAGTTTTATTATTTTTGAAAGTAGATAATTAAATTCTTGCTTAGAATTTTATCAAAAATTTTTTTAAAAAATTGAATTTCTATGAAAAATGTTATTATTTGTGAAAGTAATTGAATTATTGTGAAGAATTTTATAAAAATTTTCTTAAATAATTGATTGTTTCGACATTTTTTAAAAAATGTTTTTCTAAATTAATTGAATTTCTGTTGAAATTTTATTATTTATGAAAATAATTGAATTGTTGATAAATTTTATCAATTTTTTTAAATAATTGAATTCTTTTGTGTAATTTTATTAAAATACTAGATAAAATTGAAAATAATTGAATTTTGACTTTTTTTTGGAAAATAATTGAATTGGTTTAAAGAATTTGATTATTATTTTTAAGAATAGTTTTTTGATTTCTATTAGCGAATTTAGAGTAGTGGAAATTGAAAAAAAGCAGAAATAGTAGCATTTAGTGGTTGAAATCGAAAAAAGTACCCAAATAGTAGCATAACTTGAAAAAAGTAGTGAATAGTAGGTTAAAATAATTTTTTACCTTCCATCCACATATCTCCTTAAAAATGCACTCGCAATAATTCTCACGTGTCAAATAACCAGAATTGGCGATGATCGTTACTTTGAAATTAATACAAGTATAGAAAAAAGAACAGTGGAAATGTTTTCCCAAATTACTTAATAGATGTATGTAATTGCAACTAATTACGTTTCATCAAACAGCCTTTTCAAATAGAATTTAAAGAAATGATTTTCAACGAATTGAGAGGTGATGCATATATATAAAATAAGCCTTGAAAGCAAAAGGAAGATGTGTATAATGAATCATAGTCGTATAACACTTCAGTTTGCAGAAAAATAATTATTACTCGTAGCTGGTGTTGTCCCACTTTAACTAATAAATGTCAACACTCATGCGGTAAATAATCTTCAGAGTTGAAGAAAAATTTTACCTGGGATAAAAGATGAATTACCCCTCAAAATTTTAATTTACTTGATGATTTATATTTTACTAAATTCAAAAGTGAATTATTAACATCTTAATAAATTTCTATGTGTTTCATTTCATTTTTCAATGTTGCGCAATATTTTTCTTCAATAATGAAAACACATTTGTCCTGAGTTCTATTTTTAATGAATTTGCCATTTAATAATTTATTAATAATTCATAAGAAAATATAACATTTTGAAATATAATAAATGTCAATTACCTTTGATAATAATGAAGCAACGAACAGAATATCAATTGGAAAAATAAGAAAGAATTAGTGAAATTACAATTGAATTTGACAATTTATGGCAAAAAAAAAAAATGATTGCAAAAATTCAATTATTTTCAAAAGTAATAAAATTCTTCGCAGAAATTCAATTATTTAAAAAAATTTTTTTTAATTCTCGTCAAAATTTCAATTGTCTTTATAAACAATAAAATTCTTCTCCAAAATTCAATTATTTTAAAAAATTTTTAATAAAATTCTACGCAAAATTCACAAAAATTCAATTATTTACATATTTTTTTTTAAATTTCTTCGCAATATGAAAATTCAATTATTTTTATAAATAATAAAATTATTACAGGGATTCAATTATTTTTCTGAATAATAAAATTCCTTTTAGAAATTCAATTATTTTCATAAATAATAAAACTTATAGCAGAAATTCGTCAAAAAAATTCAATTATTTAAAAATTTGTTTATACAATTCTTTATGAGAATAAAAATTTTAAGAAACATTCAAATATTCAAAAAATTATTTTTTTGTATTTAAATAATTGAATTCTAGTAGAATTTTTTAATAAAAATTCATTTAAAAATAAATTTTAGTTAAAAACAGATAAATTTGAAAATTCTCAAAAAACTTTTTTAAAAATTATTAAAAATAATGGATTTATAGAAAAATTTTAGTTAACACTAAAAAAAAATTTAATTTTGTAGAAGTTACAAATTATTGCAGAAATTTAATTATTTTCAAAAATAGTAAAATTCTTTTTAGGAATTGAATTTTTTTTAGAAATAATAAAACTCAATCCAGAATTTCAACTATTTTTTATACAATTTTAATCGAATTTCTTGGAAAATGTAATTATTCTTACAAATTTTATTAAAAATCGTCGAAAGAATTCAATTATTTAAAAATATAATGATAAAATTCTTTATGAGAATTCAATTTTAACAAACATTAAATTATTCAATAAATGTATTTAAATAATTAAATTCTAGTAAAATTTTCTAATAAAAATTGATTTAAAAATGAATTTCAGTTAAAATTTTAGATAATAATTGAATATTTTAAAGGCAATGTGAATTTTATAAATAATTGAATTTTAAAATTAATCTTTTTAAAAAAGTTTAGGTAATTGAATTTATTTATATTTTAAGTTTTTATTTTTTAATATACATTTATTTGAAGAATTTACGAATAATTGAAATTTGTAAAATTGAATATTGTAAATTTAAATACAATTCTTGTCAAAATTTCAATTATTTTCAAAAAATTTTCCTCCATTAAATGATTTTCAATATTTACTTTTTTAATAAAATTTTTCAAAAAAATTCTATTATTTAAAAAATAAAAAAAAATTCAATTATTTACAAATTTTTTTTATAAATTTCTACGCAATAATTCAATTATTTTCATAAATAATAAAATTTCTACAAAGATTCAATTATTTTCATAAATATAATAAATTTCTTCGCAAAAATTCAATTATTTTCATAAATAATAAAACTCATGGCAGAATTTCAATTATTTTTAATACAATTTTAATCAAATTTCTCGAAAAATGTAATTATTCTTTATTAAAATTCGTCCAAAGAATTTAATTATTTAAAAATTTACTTTATTTTTATTTATTTAATTTATTTAAAAATTTGTTAATAAAATTCTTTATGAGAATTGAATTTTAAGAAACATTCAATTCTTCAATAAATTCTTTATTTTTCAAAGAAGCTTTTTTTTCATTTTTGTATTTAAATAATTGAATTCTAGACGAATTTTCAAATAAAAATTGATTTAAAAATGAATTTCAGTTAAAATTTTATATGATAATTGAATATTTGAAGCAATATAGCGTGAATTTTAAGAAATAATTGAATTTTAAAATTAATTTTTTGAAAAAGTTTAATTACGGTTTTTTTTTTTTTTTTGTTTTTTTAAATTGAAATTATTTTAAGTTTTTATTTTTCTAATATATATTTAATAATTTACGAATAATTGAAATTTTGTAAAACTGAATATTATAAAGAAATGAATTTGAAAATTGTCAAAAAACTTTTTCGTAAATTATTAAAAATAATTGATGAAAGAAGAATTTTAGTTAAAAATTCTTGAAAATAATAATTGAATTGAAATGAAAATAATTTTCAAGAAGTATAATATTCTTATAATATAAAATAATGATTTTATCAATTTGACATCTTTAATTATTATAAAACAAGAAGAAATTAATCAGTCCGAGTCGAAGACTCGGAGTGATCCATTTCTTCATGTTTTATAGTTATAAAAAAATTTAATTTACACTTTTAAGTAAAATGTTTTTTTATTTGACTTCGACTGGTTATATTTTTTGTGAGTATTTGGTTCGTAATTTTTTATTTTTATCCATAAAGCTCGTATTTTTAAATAATTTCACTGGTTCGAGCCCTGTTACTATCTTAAATGAATTATTTTTATTTAAATGGTATAAACAATTTTTGCCTAGAATTTGTCATGGAAATTAAATGATAAAATTTAATTTCACAATAATCTAAAGTTGAAAAATATTATTTCACGAATTTAAATTCTTTCTAATTAAAAATCACTAAAATTTAGTAAAATTCATTTAGAAATTCAAAAGAATCATTCTAGTGAAATTCTGTAGAATATTCACTAGAATTTATATAAAAATAATATAAAATTATATAAGATTATTAATAAATATAATATAAATGTAATATAAAATTATTCTATTGAATCATTCTAATGAAAATCTATAAAATTTTTTCAGGTAAAGAGATTAAATAAACGGAAGTAATTTTTAGGAAATTGCAATAATTTCCCAATTCATTTTCACGGTGAGACTGTTATAGATTGCAGATAACTGGATTCTGTATGTTCTAGACATGCATCTGTGGCTTATTGTCGCGGATAACGTTAGACCCATCAGTTCCAGTTCTCGGGCGTGTCCTTGTCACGCACTACAATTTTCGATACATTGTATACAGGAACTATGCCATTATATATACCTTAACCAAATATATATATAGCATGCTTGCATTTTACATAAAGTTTCCCAATAAAATTTCAAAATGGAATCTACTTATTCCTCGAGTATATAGTCCATTATTATTATATATACCAATTTGCCCATATAATACCAAAATACGTATACAAATATAGAAAATCGATAGCACTTAGAGACTGTTTCTTCGTTTTTGTTTCTTTTACGAAATTCGAAACTTGGGGCGTAAAAGCTAAAAGCTTGCGAGAGCTTAGAATCTGTTTTCTTAACCACACTTTCTTTTTCATTAAAAAAAAAAAAAAGTTACCCCCTCAACTTTTCATGTAAAATATCGTGTTTCTTTCTAATGTTTCTCTTTTTAAAAAAGAAAATCAACTTATTTTTCAGAGTATATGGAAAAAAATTTGAAAATAAAATTTGGTATACTTGCATTCGACTGCCTGTGGATGATTTTGAAATGCTGTTCTCAATATTTGGGGTTTCGTGATAAGAAGGTGTTGACTCACTGACTTACCTGAAACAATAAGATAACTTTTTATTAGTATAAATGCCTACATTTTAAAAAAGTTAAATAATGTAAAAATTCCAAATTAAAAAAAATTATGTTTTTTTTTAATGAAAATTAACTCAAGCTAATTATAATCTATTTCAGGATTGCCAAAGGTTGGAAAATCCAGGAAAAAATCAGGAAATTATAATCATAAAATCTATGAAATTACCATGATTCTAAAAATACAAAAACTTCAATTTTTTCTCTTTCTGACAATAATTTCTTTTTTAATAATTTAATTCTTGCAGAACTATAATAAAATTATTACACTTAGGAATTATTATTTAATAAATAATTTTACTTAAATATTTCGAAATTAGTTTGATTTTAAAAGAGTTGCGTTTACAATTTTCATTAATAAATGAACTTCAAACGACTTCAATTTGAAATTTTATAAAATTTCAATTTTCAATGAATTTAATTACAAATTTTAAAGAACTTCGATTTTTTAAAAAAAATTTAATAATTCAAATTCTTTTGAAATTAGTTCCATTTTTGAATAGAATATTTAATTACTTATTAAAAATAATGGATTTATAGAAGAATTTTAGTAAAAAACAGTTAAAAAATTGAACTTTTGAGGAGTTAAAATTTATTGCACGAAATTCAATTATTTTCAAAAAATTTAATAAAATTCTTGTCGAAACTTCAATTATTGTCAAAAAATTTCTTTTAATTCAATGATTTTCAATATTTATTATTTTAATCAAATTTTTCAAAAGAATTCAATTATTTAAAAAAAAAATTTTAATCAAATTCTACGTAAAAATTTAAGTATTTTCATAAATAATCAAATTTTTACAAAGATTCAATTATTTCCAATTTTTTTGTTTATAAATTTCTTCGCAATGATTCCATTATTTTAAAAAATAATAAAAATTTTTAGAGGTTCAATTATTTTCATAAATTAAAATATCCTTTTTAAAAATTCAATTATTTTCATAAATAATAAATTTCATGGCAGAATTTCCATTATTTCTAATACAATTTTAATCGAATTCCTTGAAAAATGTAATTATTCTTAAAAATTTGATTCAAATTCGCTGAAAAAAGTTAATTATTTAAAGTTCATAAAAATTTTTATGAGAATTCAGTTTTAAGAAAAATTAATCAATTATTCACTAATTTTTTCATTTTTCTATTTAAATAATTAAATTCTCGTAGAATTTGCTAATAAAAATTGTTTTAAAAATGAATTTCAGTATAAATTTTATATTATGATTGAATATTAAAATAATTATAACACAAATTTTTAGAAATAATTGTATTTTGAAAAAGTTTAATTGAATTTTTTTAAAAAATTATTTCTAAGTATTTCTTGTTAGTCCGAACATTGTTGCGTGTAATTATATTGTTCACTTTTTTAAAGAATGTAAATTAACTATTTAAACACATGTAAGCTTATAAACCTTTTGAGAGGTTTTTTTATGCTTTAAATAAAAAAAAAAAAAAAAAAAAATTTAAATAATTGAATTTTGCAAAGAATTTTATTAAAATACTTCAAAATAATTGAATTTTTGGGAATAATTTTGTTATTTATCGACATAATTGAATTCTCTCGAAGAATTATTCATGTAAATAATTTCTTTTGAACAATTTTATTAAAATATTTGAAAATAATTAAATTGCTGAGAAAATTTTTAATATTTTTATAAAAAATTGAATTCTTCAAATGAATTTAAAAAAATATTTTTTTAAATAATTAATTTTTTTCGAGGAATTGAAACCAAATTTTTAAGAATAATTACATTTTTGGAGCAATTCCTGTAAAATTGTATTAAAAATAATTGAAATCCTACAATGAATTATATTATTTATGAAAATAATTGAATAGTTGCTAAGAATTTTATTAAAATTTTTAAAAATAATTGAATTCCTGAGAAGAATTTTGTTAATTATGAAAGTAATTGAATTTTGCAAAAAATTTTTATTAAAATACTTTAAAATAATTGAATTTTCGGGAATAATTTTGTTATTTATATATAGACATAATTGAATTCTTTCCAATATTTATTTATGTAAATAATTGAATTCTTTCGAAAAATTCTTTATGTAAATAACTGAATTCTTGGAACGAATATTATTACAATTTTTTTAAATAATTGAATTCATGTGATAAATTTTATTACTTGTAAAAATAATGGAATTCTTGGGAAGGATTTTATTAAAATGTCTGTAAATAATTTAATTTTTTTTTGAAAAATTTTATGTAAATTTAAATTGTTACAAAACATGAAGATATCGATCACTCCGAGTCGAAGACTCGGAGTGATCTCTATCTTCGTGTTTTATAATAATATTCTTAAAAGTTATTGAATTTCAAAAGGTTTAAATTTGAATTTTTTAAAAATCTAATTTCTTATGGAAAAATAATAATGATTAAATATTTATTTGAAAAAAAAGTTATTGATGTTTTCGAATAATTTTACAATTCAAGAAATTCGTAAATAAATGTAATAGAACATTTTTTTGAGTTTCCAATAATTTTTCGAGTGAATCAGAATATTTTTTAGGGTCAGAGAAAAAGTCAAAATTTTGTCTGAAAATTAGGGAAAAAATTAAATTTTTGTTGCAATTATATGTATTAAGTATTCACTAATTATTATTAATTTATTTATTTCATCTATTTTAAATAATATAAATTGTACTGGATTTTAAAATCATTTCTGACACAGAATAAAGCTTAAAGCATTAAAATAAGATGCAACACTGTTTTATTTAAATATCAAATTTGAATAAAGTTATCAAAAAATGGGTTCAAATTAGTGTCACGTTCGAGAATGCATCATCACTGGATCAAATTTGAGCATTGCATCTTATATTCTAACTGAAAATTTTTAGTGTAAATAAAAAAATTAAACTCATTTTCAATCAAGTTTAAAAAGTGATTAATATTAATTTATGTAACATAAAATCATAAAACAGAATTGAGAATATATTTTTTACTCAAAGTGATAGTTTACTTCTTTATTTTAGAATATATTTTTAAATTAAAAATTGTTTTAGTAACTATTGAGATATTTTTAAAAAAAGCAAAATTTTTAATTTCCAAGAAGAATTTTGAATCAAATGCAAAAATTTAGTAAACTAAATGAAATGAATTTTCAAAGAAATTTCATTCGATTGAGAAATGGACTTTTCAAAAGAAAACCGCGTATAGTAACTTTTCCCGACAATAATAAATGTTCATTTCTTCAGTTCAACTATTTTGATTTCCCATGAATAAAAATTTTGCGAGTCGTTCGAGTTCGTATCATTGAACGTTTTGGTTGTGATTTCAAAACCGTCAGCAACTTTCGACAGGAAACTAATGTTGAGCAAAAAGGATTGGAATCCCGCTGACAATGCATCGCAAAATAGCATTTTTATTCGCAGAATAAAAACAAAGCAATATTGCTTCATATAAATGAAAACTCGTATAATTCATTAATTCTAACAATAACATAATATTTTGATAATTGAAACCGTAAACAAATCTAAATTTGAAAACATAAGAATAATGATGAAATTATTTTATCCGTTATTATGATAATAAAGAAAATCGAGACAATAAATTTGTTTATTTTTTATTTTGCTGTATTGTATAAAAGATTTCTGTGACATAAATTATTTTAATTAAAACATAGCTATGACTGCAGCGTATAAAGTTTGAATGTAACATATAAGAAAGTAGATGCATTGTCAGAACTCCGTCTCTTAATAAAACAAATAAACAAAAAAGAAAAAACAAACATATTGTTCCGGGAGGAATATTTTCAGAAACACAAAAGATTCTGCCGAGTAACGAGAATAGAACAACTGTCCCAGAGATTTTATTTGAAAAAGACTAAAAAGTGTGAAGGCGTACCTTGCACTCGGAAGCAGCAATATGTATGATAATGCCCGGCTTATGTGTTGGTACCAAGTTCATGTGTAAGTATTATATTATGCCCGACTGTAATATACATCTAGTGTACGTAAGGTTTTCTATAAAAATAACCGCATATGCGCGCACGTTTCTATCTGTATACGCAAACTGGTTACCATCTATATTATTTCCAGTTATTCTTATACACATATTTTCCGCAAATTTCTTTTACGTTTTACGTAAACGCGATTCCAGCCAAATATTAATCTCACAAATACATACCATGCAAGGTGAGTGGAAATATTTTTCAAAACCAGTTTTTCGTGTCGTTTTCAACGAAAATTTACATTTTAATCAATAAAATCATTTTTCTGTATAATTAATAATAATTATATTTACTATTATTAACTATACTCATCTCCGTATTCTTTCATTCATTCTGTCCAAAGTTTGAAGTTAGTTTCTGTGTATGCTTTTGTTTTTTTTTCTTTCTTTAAAAAATATTGTTTGACAAATCGAAAATCAAGTATTTTTTCATGATTTATAATAAAATAATATTACAAATTAGAAAATTTAAAAAAAATTATGATTAACAAATCAAAAATATACCCAGTTTGTTTGTTATATGCTTTTTCTATAACAAATTTCGTTTGACTGATCTAAATTATCATGCACATTATTCTCCTCTTTATTTATAAAAATTACTACAAAGTTGTTAATTATTAAACAATTTTCGAATTATTTACGAATATTTTTAATTGTAAAATTATTCGAAAACAATAATTTCTTTTTTAAATATTTTGAATATTTAATATTATTATTCTTTTTCCATAGGAATTAAGATTCTTCAAAACATTCAAATTCAAACCTTCTTGAAATTAAACAACTTTAAAAATATTGTTATAAAACATAAAGAGAATCGAGTGTTAAAATCATTATTTTATATATTATAAATTAGTTATTGAAATAATAGAATGCTTCTTAAAATTTAATTCTAATAAAGAATTTTATTAACAAATTTTTAAATAATTAAATTATTTTGACGAATTTTAATAAAATTTTTAAGAATATAATTACATTTTTTAAGAAATTTTATTAAAATTGTATTAAAAATAAT